GAAATTTGATCTCAGAAACTTAAATGCCATGTGTTCAAAATTACAATTACATGAAATTTCAATTTACCGAATCTTACACAAAATTACGTAAATTACCGTAATTTTAACATCCCTACATATACGTATATTTGTCTTCTGCGCTACAAATCTGGCACTCATTTTGGACTTGCTTATTTTTTTTTGGCAGATCAAGCTTCGATTTTATTTTATATTAAACCGCTATTGAGAAAGCCTCGAGTATGACATTTAGTAAAACGCAACATCAAATTATTATGCAATTTATTCAACGTCATCAGCATAAACCTAATAAGTTAAATTCAGGAATAGATTGGATTCCTTACAATGATCTTAAAAATATTCAAGTTCTTGAAAAAGGAGGTTTTAGCACGATATTTACAGCGGTCTGGGTGACTGGTCCCATAACAAAATGGGAGAGTTCGGATTCACCTATAATAAGAATGAAAAATTATAAAGTTGCTTTAAAATATATGGACAAAAACCTTTTCACGAAATTTATGAGAGGTAAATTATTTGATGATATTAAAAATTTATTTTGTAGATAACTAAAATCATTATTTCAGGTTGTAAATCAATTAAGTTGTCAAACATATGATCACATAGTTCCGAACACTTAATTGTTATAGATTACTATGAAGAAGGAAATCTTCGCCAATATTTGAATGCTAATTTTGACACACTATCTTGGTATAACAAAGTTAAGATATTACAAGATATTGATTATGGTCTTAAAACCATTCATGGTAATTCAAAAATTCATGGTGACTTACATAGTGGAAACATTTTAATACGTAGAACCGCAGCAATAGCTGATTTTGGTTTATGCAAATCAAAATATGAGTGTGAAAATAATCAAAATGAAGCTTATGGTGTTCTTCCATACATTTCGAAAGTGATATTTATTCATTTGGGATGATAATGCTTAAAGTTTTGACCGGATTTCCACCATATCATGATGACCGTAGTACTATTCCAGAAATGATTTTTTTTTGGTTGTTATCCAGAAATTAAATATGATATCCCAGTGCATTTGTTAGAATTAATAAAAAAATGTTGGAGCCGTGTCCCTAAAAATCGGCCGTCAGCTAACATAATAATTAAAGAATTAGATCAATTTCTTATCGAATATAAAGATGAACATTCTAAATGTATAAAAAAATTGACTTATCACACAGAGAATTAGAAATATCTGGCCCAAACAAATTTAGTCGATTACACACTATATAATTCAGAATCTAATAGGTATTTATATATTTGTTTATTTGTACAGTATAAAAATATAGTTAAATTTATTAATAATTTATTTTATTGTTAGATCCTTCATGTCCAACCCTGAGCACTGAGTTTGGTATCATACGTCTAGATGAGCAATCCAATATCAACCATAAGGTTAATGAATTGACGATCAAAATAATCGACCAAAGCATATCTCCTCCAAAATTTAATAATCCAGAGGATAAGTTTTCAAGACATTTTACCTCCAAGACTGTGACTGGATTTTGAGTATTTAGAACACTTCTATCTAAGGAAGCAAAAAGACTTGGATTCGTTGCCGCAAGCAAATTATGGCGCGAATTATCTTGTGCTGATAGATACTATTATAACACTTTGGCTTCAAATGTGACCTCATTGCTTCGAGTTGATTTCGAGTGCGAAAAAATTGCTGTTGATCACAATTATCAAGATGGTATGGAAAACAGTTAGAAATTTTGACATTCAATACGCTAAGACTATACTGTATCACTATATCATCGCGAAATAACGCTCTGTGAGATACGTAGATTGAAAATAGCTGATAATTATTGCGCTTTATAAAAAGATGTGGCCTCTGTAGATCACAATGTCGTGTGGAATCGAAGATTCCATCGATTTTATCGATTATAAACGTTACCGTTCGAAAATATAAAACAACAACAATCTAAAATCTAAGAGATTTTCTCCGGACATCACAGAAATCATGCGGCCACATCTTTTTGCAAACCCCAATAATTAGCAGAACGCGGATCATAATTAAAAATCTCTGGCTAAATTAATTATTAGCTATCTTCAATCTACTTATTCCGAAATAACGCCAGGGGCGTTATTTTGCGATAATACGGTATGGAAATGTTTTATGTAACAAAAATTATTGGAGTGTATTATTGAGGTATTCCAAATACTAATTCTGAATTCTGACGTGCAAAATTTTAACAGGTTAATATTAATTTACTCCTACGTTTTAATGTGAAATTTTCAATCGTAGCGAATTACAAAAATCTTTACAATTTATTTTGATCAGGGATGTCATTTATCATGTAAGTTTACTATGGATACATGGGTCAATTGTTGACAGTCAACTAGTCAACTAGACTGGCTAACTATTATCAAATAAGAGCAAAGCGATCTCATCCGGGTAACACGCTAGTATTAGTTTGGACGTGTTTCAACCTTCAACTATGAATTTAAAAACACTAATAACAGCTTTTTATTTATCATTTTTTACGCCTTTTATTCGATCCAATTTTCATAAAAAATTTCGGCTTTCCTTTTTAAAGAATCGAATTTCCTTTTTTGGCGTTGATTCTTGTTAGATTTTTCACTATCTCAAATTCAAATTTACATCACTCATTATCACTATCATCCTCCCTATCATCATCATCATCATCATCATCATCATCATCATCATCAATTTTAAATAAATTATCTCTAATAACCTCTGAATAGTCATCCATGTCACTCTCTAGGTCC